CTGCCACAAATTCCCCCAGTTGTGAGCCTTCCAACCTTCTAAGTATTCCTTTATATGTGGTTCAGAGTTCTGGGACCATCCCCTGATCCTGCTTGGTCGGGTATTCTGTGTTGTTGTTGGCGGAGCTCTCTGCTATACGTCCCGTCCACCTGATCCTCCATCTTGTTTGTTTCTCTGTCCTTCCTTGTCTTCTTAACTACCTTTTGCTTTCTTCCTGTATGATGTTCCTGATGTCATTCCACAACAATTCTGACCTTCAATCATTAATAACTAATGTACCCGATATGTTCTTGAAATGATCTCTAAATCATTTAAGATATGTTGAAAGTCATATATTGCTTCTCATGGACTTCTTTTAATTTTTTTCAGCTTCAGCTTGAACTGGCATATGAACAATTGATGGTTTGTTCCATAGTCTGCCCCTGGTCTTGTTTTGGCTGATGATATGGAACTTTTCCACCATCTCTTTCCACAGATGCAGACAAATGTTTGATTTCTGTGTATTCTGTCTGGTTAAGTCCATGTGTATAATTGTCTATTATGTTGTTTAGAAAAGATGTTTGTGGTTGTGCGCTCTTTCCTAGGGATGGTAGAGGCTGTGTAGTGTCTCCATTACTCTAAGGAGAATAGTTGATGGAGGGGTTAAAAAATACAGAACTATAAAACCATAACCTGGAGAAGCAAAACCATACTCCAAGGAAGCATCATCAGCATCACCACTAGCAGCAGCACCCGCAACAAAAGCAATAGCAGTCAGTGCCCCTTCCAATACCTGAAAATTGGCAACAGGCCAGCAGCCAAAATGAAGGCTTTACTATTGAACTGAAGAATTTTAGGAAACCAGAATTGAAGGTCTTCACCCAGAATAGCCCTCTCTTTTATGTAATCTTCCTCCTGACATCACTGAGGGGGGGAATGAGGAAACTATTTGAGAAATATGGGAAGGCAGGAGAGGTCTTCATTCAGAAGGATAAGGGCTTTGGCTTTATCCACTTGGAAAAATGAACTCCAGCATAGATTGCCAGAGTGGAGTTGGACAACATATCACTTGGTTGAAAGCAGCTGTGCATGCACTTTGCCTGCCATAGTGCATCCCTTACAGTCCAAAACCTTCCTCAGTATGTGTCCAACAAATTGCTGGAGGAGGTCTTTTCTATGTTTGGCCAATTAGACATGGCTGTGGTCATTGTGGATGCTGGAGGAAGACCCTCAATAAAAGACATTGTTGAATTATCAGGGAAACCAGCTGATTGTAAAGCTCTGGATAGATGCAGTAAAGGCTCTTTTCTGCTAACCACATTTCCATGTGGAGACCATGGACCCAATAGATGATGAAGAGGGGTTTCAAGAGAAGCTGGTTATAAAGAACCAGCAATTTCATAAGGAGCAAAAGTAGCCACCCAGATTTGCACAGCCTAGCTCCTTTGAGTATGATTATGCCACACCCTGGAAGGCACTCATTAAGATGGAGAATTAGCAGCAGAACCAAATAGACCACAACATAAGGAAAGCTTAAGAGAAACCAGAGATGGAGATGGAGTATACTCCCCATAGCACCAAGTCATGCTAATGAGGCAGGATTTGATGAGGTACCAAGAAGAACTTCTGTGGATGGAAGAGTTGCACAGCCAAGAGATACAAAAACGAAAGCAACTGGAGCTCAGGCAGGAGAAGGAGCATGGGTGCCATGAGGAAGAGATGATATGGCAACAGCAGGAAGGAGTCAAGGGAACATTTTCTGATGTAAGAGAGAAGGAAATACAGATGGGCCTGATGGCTATGGGAGGTGCTATGGTCATAAACAACAGAGGTGCCATGCCCCTTTCTCCTGTACCCACTGGTACCCCAGCTCCTCCAGGACCTGCCACTATGATGTCAGATGGAACTTTAGGATTGACCCCACCAACAACTGAGCATTTTTGCCAAGCTGCTACAATGGAAGGAATTGGGGCAATTGGTGGAACTCCTCCTGCATTCAGTCATGCAGCTCCTGGAGCAGAATTTCCTCCAAACAAGTGGCATCGATACTAATAAATTTGCTATATTCACAAATGTAAAAGGAGGACCCTTTTTGGACTAGCCAGAATTCTATTCTGGAAGAGTGTTAGGGATTCTTCCCAATAGTTAGGTCTTCCCTGCCTGTACTACCCTAGGGAGTGTACTGGAGGCAAAGGGCAAAGGGAGTGGGGTAGTATTTAACAAATCAATTATGTGTGTGATATATTATTTAACAGATCAGTTCCATGTGGTGCATTCCTGAAGTTTCAACTGTGACTATTGAGGGAAGGGAGAATATCATGGCAAAAATGGACCCAGTTAGAGCCCCATTAATCTTGATCATTCTGTTCTTTGTCCACTGCTGTTTTATTTGCTTTCTCATCTTTACATCTCCCAACCCCAGAGACACTGCCACATATACAAAAAAAAAAAAAAAATCCCCAATGACCTTAGCCTGATTGTTCCACTCATTCCCAGGGCACAAGTCAAACAAATGTCCACAGAGGTCACAGAAAATATACATACGGTTCTGTTATATCCAATATATTATTCCTTCATGTCCTAAGGGAGATATTTTCTCTTAAATATTTTCATTTTAGTGTATCTCTTTTTCAAAATTTTGTATTAACCTCCATATTTTTCTTGGATGCAGACAAGCCAAAAATGCCCCGTTTGTGCCTATAATGTTGCTATTCACAGCTTTTTTTTTTAATTTTGAGGTATGTGATAGTTTACATGGGAGAACATTAGCTTTAAATTCATCCTATCGTATATCTTTTCATTGCCATGGTTACATCCCCTCTATGCATCATCAACCAACCAAAAGGTATTCTGCAAGCCTGACCCCTGGTCATCAACACACAGCCCCTCTCCTTCTCTGGGTCTAGAGTCCCCAGCCGCTTCATCTCTCCACATCATCGTCTCTGCCTCCATCTCTGGTATCACTGTTTCTCTGGGTAGGGTCCTGCACTTTGCTCTTCTCCCTTACTGGTCCCAGGGATCTCCGTTCCTAAACTGCAAAGTCGGTCACTCCCCTCCTTTTGCTACAAAATATCTACCTTTACATTTCCAACCCTCACAAGTCAGTCCTGATAACAATTATTCACTATTGTATATCACAAGAGACCTATCCACATCTCGTTTCATTAGCCCCACCCAGACATATTGGATACTACTCAGTGGAGATTCTACCTTCCTCGCACCCTCTGAATCTAGGCTCCCTCTTGAAAGCTTGTAAACCAGTCACTTCTTGCCTTTTTACCCCCGCCCCCATATTCTGGGTAGCCAATGTCCAAGTTGCCCATCCCCGTCTACTCTGTGTGTGTGGAGGGGGTAGGAATGATCTTCACTGTAAAGATTTGTTCCCTCTTTTGAGCTACTGCATCCATAGGTGTAGATCAAGTTCATCAAATTGTATCAGATTACTCTTTTTTTCCTCTTCTTTATTCTTCTAGTTGAGCTCTGATCATCCAGTCATTGAAGCCAGGTCAAGTGTGTATTTTCTGCAAGTGTGGGTGTTCTTATGCATATGCCCTCTCTTCTTATCAGCTGGATGCCTGACTGTCCACTCTAGTCCTCTGTGCCTTTGTCACAGACTCTGGGCCCAGGTCTTGCAACATTGCTAGGCAATGAGGCCTCCACCTGGGTTTGCAGGAGTCTATTGAACATTGCAAGTCTTAGCTTGTAGCTTCATTGCTGTTTTTCCCTTACTTCCCATTATCGGTGACGAACATGGCCACCAATCAGAGCACATGTCTGCTTATGTATTCCCATTGAGTTTTAGTCTTGGAAGGGTGTTTGCCCTGAGGGGACGCAACCTCATTCTTGATGTCTCCTGGGCAAGCAACTTGCTTTTTCTTGTAGTAATCAGTCAGACTGCCATTATTGTTTTGTATTTTTCTTGTCAGTCTCTTTCAAGAAGTATTCACAGCTTTTTCTGATAGGCTTGTGAACAGTGTTGTATGTTGAAGTTTTGCCTATATTAGGTAGTTAAGGTAGTTATGCTGTGCTTATTTGATTTGTCCCTGATGCATTTAATTTGATGTCAAATATTACTGCTCCATTTCTCATGAAACATCAAATTAAATGTATCTGGCACAGGTTTCAGCTGAGCTCCCAAACAAAGACAAACTAAGAAGGAGATAAGGACAACTTCTGAATATTTAGTCATTGAAAATCCTGTGAATAACAATGGAACACTATCAGCACCAAAATTTTGAATATTGAAACATGTACCAGAATATTGTCAGATATAGTGCCAGAAGATGAGCCCCTGAAATTGAAAGTCACTCAAAATATGACTGGGGAAGACCTGCCTCTGCAAAGTTAGAGTTGAACATGATGAAGCCAAATGGAATAAAGCCTCTGGGACCTTCATCTAGTAATGGGGCAAATTTTGCTTCTGAAGGAAGTGACTTGTGAATATCAGCACAAGCAACTTTTTAATTTTACCATCAAAAGTTCAATGTGCAAACATCAGTGAATGTTTTATTGAGCTAGATAGGAACCAGGTAAGATAGAGAATCTGGCCTAATTGGTTTCTGCTTTCTCGGTCACTTTGCTTGGTTCTTGCCCTTCCCTTTATTCCCTCTTTAGTTTTTCCAACACATATGAAGCTTCTTTGTACTCTTTCTTCCATACCAGCAGCTATTGGTGTGTTTCTCAGAGTAATGGAGCCAAGACATCTCCTCTGGGCACTACTATTTATGGATCCATTGTGGCCCCAACTAACTGATGGGGCCACTCGAGTCTACTATCTGGGCATCCAGGATGTACAGTGGAACTATGCTCCTAAGGGAAGGAATGTCATCAAGAACCAGCCTCTGGACAATGACACGTAGGTTTCATCTTTTGTCATGTAAGAGTTGAAGTTGTGGGAGAAGGGGGTAAGGGGTAGCTTTTTTAGGATCCTTTCTCAGGGTGTAAATGTAGCAATCACTTCAGCTATTTAGGTCCTCCACTCAGTGGCCAGTTTCCTGGAAAAAGGGCCTATTGACTCAGGATCCAGCATCCCATCTGGATTCTACTTTTCCACAATGAGGTACAAAAGTCTGCTAAGGTTCCTAAAAGATAAGAATTCCATGTTCCCTTGATTCTAAAACAAAATCTATATTTCTAGTTTAAAATATCAGTTTTTTGACTGTCTTTAAAAGGGAAAGAAATGAACAGTGTTCATAAGGTGCATAGTTATTTCAGATATGCTTAAATTGGGGGGAGAAAAGGTGAGTCTTAGAATCAAGGAAATATATTTATACTAATTTTTTAAAAAGCCAAAACTCTAATAACAAGTATCCCCATTTTATGAATGAAAAAACTGAGGCTCTAGGCTATCAAATGACTGGCTCAAGTAGTACAGTTATTACATGGAAATTTAATAGGATTTGAATCTGGGTATTATAAATGAAATAGGTCCTAGTGTGGTACAGTTTGTGCTTGATTATTAATGTAAATTTTGGCAGTTCAGGCCTTCCCAGAAACACTATGGAAAAAAAAAAAAAAAAGGCCTAGAGATCCTCTTCCTTAAAGAGTATAGTCAAGAAAACCTTTTGCAGCAAGTCTAATTTGCAACACATGTGGTGATTATGAGTTGTAATTGCCTCAGTAGAAGCTTTTTTTTTTTTTTTTTAATGTGATGCCAAGTGACTTTGAGGGAAAGCTTCATTATCCCCCATCTCCAATCCTTTGAAATAATGTTGTTACTGTTAGGAGCTCTCAAGTCAATTCCAATTCATAACGACACTGTATAGTGATTTTGTGGGAGTAGAAAGCCTCATTTTTCTCCCTTGGCTGGTGGGCTCAAACTGATGTCCTTGTGCTTCACAATCCAGTGCTTATCCTCCTTAAGGGAAAGCTTTATAATCCTCCATTGTCGATATTTAAGGAGCTCTGGTAGCGTAGTGGTTACGAATTGGGCTGCGAACCTTAAGGTCAGCGGTTCGAAACTACCAGCCGCTCCGCGGGAGAAAGATGAGGCTTTCTACTCCCGTAAAGCTTTACACCCTCGGAAACCCTGTACAGGGTCGCTATGGGTCGGACCCGACTCGATGGCACTTAACAACAACAACAACAATTGTCGATATTTTGAAATAATAGTTAACATTTATTGATCTTTGGCACTGTAGGATAAATACTGAACTGTAAGATCCATTTGAACTGAAAGATTGGCATATCAGAATCACCAGTCACTCCTCAGAAACCCTATACAGGGTCACTGAGTCAGAAATGACTTTATAGCACTTAACAACAATAGGCGCTGTCCTAAACTTTTCATGTATTTAATTAATTTAATAATTTAACAGCTGTCTGCATAAGAGTCCTGGGATGACACTGTAGGCTAAGCACTGGACTGCTAACTGTAAAGTCAGCAATTCAAATCCACCAGTTATTCCTCAAAAACCCTCTACAGGATCACTATGAGTCAGAACCTACTAAATGACACTCATTTATCTTCATTTTACAGATGGGGAAATTGCACACAGAATATAAATAACTTGCTCAAAGTCCCACAAATTCATGTAATATTGGCATTTAATTCCAGCATCCTGGATCCACAGTTTAACTATTTACATGATAAGACCCCCCATATATACCAGGATACCACTAGGTCAGACCGCATCAAAGCAAATTGATCAGTTAAAGATTCTTTCCACAGTTGATCATCTTCCCATTATCATATATTGGGTTGAACCATGTAAAATTGCATTTTTTATTGATTAAAATTGGTCAAATCAGTAATTTCCTATGCTTCAACTCAATGTTTCTCATTGTCTTACAGATAGATGCTGGCCTAAAGAATTTATGTTTTGATCAATATAAACATTGTCCTTGTTCTACCCTAAAAAAAGATGGACTTTTTTTTTTTTATCAGTTTTCTCTGGAAAACAGCCTTTCACAGATTCAGATTTTGGTTAAATGTTATGCTCTCTCTTTCCGCCTTTCTCAGAGTGGCTTCCAGTTTCCTAAAGTCTAATAAGAACCGAATAGGAAGTAAATACCAGAAGACTATCTACAAGGAATACAGGGACAGTTCATATATGGATGAAGTGTCTAAGCCATCCTGGTTGGGCTTCCTGGGGCCAGTGTTGCAGGCTGAAGTGGGGGATGTCATTCTTATCCACTTGAAGAATTTTGCCACCCGTCCCTACACCATCCACCCCCATGGAGTTTTCTATGAGAAAGACTCAGAAGGTAAACCAGCTTACCCTTTCTTCCTCTCACCCCACAAAAAAAAAAAATAATAAATAAAATAAATAAATAAATAAATCACTTCTCCTTCACTGCTCTATGGGACAGAGGAGCTGAGAGATATCGGATGGCAAAGACTCTCCTCAGAAAATGCATGGCTGGATGCTGTAATCAGTTCTGCTATTCATACATTGTATAATTTGGGGCAAGTCACTGCCCCTCTTTGTGTCTCAGATTCCTCATCAGGAATGTGGAAATACAATCTTCCTTTTGTCACAAGGAGTATCTTGAGCTGACATTTCCATAAAATATTTGAATATGCTTTGAAAATAAAAGAATGTGCTGTGAATTAAAGAAAGCATTAATTTTATGTAACTATCTTCTGAAGGGTCCATTTTATTTCTTAAAGGGAAGTTCAGTTTATTCATCTGTATCTGCCACTATTACAGGCCTTTTGTCTATAATACTGACAACATTGAATGAGGAGAATACAGAGGGATTCTGGCATGACCACTAATTGCCTGCATGAATTTAGGCAAGTTATTTTTCCTCAATTTTCTCTCCTATAAAAGGGGCAAGTGATGCCACTGATCATTAAGTTGCCTTCAAATTAAAATTCTATGATAGATAGTGTGCTTTCTGTTGTTCATAGTAAGTGCTTGAAGGAAGGGAATTCTCTCTTCTCCTTTGCCTCTATGCCACCATTTTTGTACTAGATCACTACTAGGTCAGTGTCTGCTACCTATGCATCCACTATTGACATGAAATGTGTTTTTTGTTTTGTTTTGTTTTTGTTTTTTTGACTAGATGTTACCTGAATCTATGCTCTGATCAGGTTACCAGGTGCTAGACCTTATAATCCTCTTTCACAAGACTGGACTTAAGTATCCTACATTTCAATCAACTCTTGGTTTCCATATCCACCATGATCCCTCTCACTAACCATGCGACTAGGTATGTACTAATTTCATATTTTATAGGCTCTTTATATCCAGATGGCTCTTTTGGGCAGCTGAAAGCTGATGACTCTGTTCCCCCTGGAGGTAGTCATGTCTACAACTGGACCATTCCAGAAAGCCATGCACCTACAGATGCTGATCCAGCATGCCTCACCTGGATCTATCATTCTCATGTGGATGCTCCACGAGACATTGCTACTGGCCTCATTGGCCCCCTCATCACTTGTAAAAGAGGTACAGAACCCAAGAGTGAGCTATGAGATCTAGCTTGAGACATCTAGGGTGAAGCAGTTATGTGATTCAACTACCTATATATTGGGCAGCAGTAGTCCCAGGAGTGTTAATTTACCATTCTTGTTCATTAACTGTAACAAACCCTTCCAAACTCCCTTTCCACTATTTTTTTTCTCATTTCAGTATATTTTTTTTCTGAAGAAAAAAAAAATATTTTATCCTTTGTTACTCTTTCCTTATTTCACTGTTAAAACCCAAATAAGTAATAACAAGAATCAAGTCACATTGAAATAAGGAGTATGGTAAGAGGTTGATTGTTGATAGGACACTGAGGTCATCAGAGTTTCCAGAGAAATGGTAGACTTGGTTGGGAATAGGGCATGCTCAAGGTGTAGTCAGACATGAAGACCTATATATTGCAGGAATGTGGTCCTACTCTTGGTTAAAGAGGCATGGTTGGTAAAGGGAATTATTTTAGATCCCACCTCTAAGCCCTCAGCTTAGTTGAGATTTCTCCTCTCTTCCTATTCCTATCTGATGAGTACCCCTGTAGTTTATGTTGCTATGGGGGAAAAGGGTTGTCAAGGGCACCTTTCTTTCTTTTCCTAGGATCCCTGGATGGGAACCCCTCTCCTCGGCGGTTGGATGTGGACCATTATTTCTTCTTACTCTTCAGTGTAGTAGATGAGAACCTTAGTTGGCACCTCAATGATAATATTGCCACTTACTGCTCAGACCCTGCCTCAGTTGATAAAGAAGATAAAGCCTTTCAGGAGAGCAACAGAATGCATGGTGAGATGGGAGAAAATGACTACACTCTGGCAGTGAACACTAAGTGACTCTTCAGGGCGTAGCCTTTGGTGGGTGATTTTGTTGTTTGTTGTTGTTAAGTGCCGTCGAGTCGGTTCCGACCCATAGCGACCCTGTACAGGGTTTCCGAGGGTGTAAATCTTTACAGGAGTAGAAAGCCTCATCTTTCTCCCGCGGAGCGGCTGGTAGTTTCGAACCACTGACCTTAAGGTTCGCAGCCCAATTCGTAACCACTACGCTACCAGAGCATAACTGTTATTGCTGTTAAGTGCTATCAAATCATTTCTGACTCATAGCAACCCTGTGTAGAGTTTCAAAGGAGCAGCTGGTAGTTTTTAACAGCTGATCTTGTGGTTAATAGTCCACGGCTTATCCTACAGTGTCACATCAGGACTCATTAGCATACCTCCTCACTCTTTTTACTTCTCACAAGAACAATAGTTGTTGTTGTTAGATACCATCAAGTTGGTTCCAACCCATAGTGAACCCATGGACAACAGAACAGAACACCTCTGTGTTCTGCACCATCTTCACAAATGCTGCTACACTTGAGCCCATTGTTGTTGCCACTGTGCCAATCCATCTTGTTTGGGGTCTACCTCTTTTTCACTGTCCCTCCACTGTACCTAGCATGATGTCCTTCTCCAGGTACTGGTCCAAACTGATAATATGACTAAATTATGAGAGACGAAGTTTGGCCATCTTGGCTTCTAAAGAGCATTCTGGTTGTATTTTTCCAACAAGAACAGGAGTAGTAGGTAACATTTCCCTATTTTACCTTGAGAACACGAAGACTCCTAGGGTTAAACAGCAGATAAGTAGCACAGCAGAAAATTCAGTGCTTATCTGTCTAACTTCAGGTTGTTGTTATTAAGTGTTGTCAAGACATTTCTGACTCATAGTGACCCTGTATAGGGTTTCTGAGGAGTGGCTGATGAGTTTGGACCACCAGCCTTGTAATTCAAACTGACCTTGTGGTCCAGGGATTAGCCTATGGAGCATGTTGTTGTTGTTGTCAGGTACCATCGAGTTGGAAACGACTTATAGCGACCCCATGCACAGCAGAATGAAACAATGTCTGATCCTGGGCCAACCTCACTACTGCTGCCAAACTTGACGCCATCAATGATGCCACCTGGCTGATCCATCTCGTTGGGAGTCTTCCTCTTTTTCTCTGACCCTCCATCTTGCCCAGCATGACATCCTTCTCCAGCGACTGTTTCCTCCTAACATTATGTCCAAAGTATGAGAGATGAAGCTTAGCCATCCTGGATTCCAAGGAGCACTCTAGCTACACTTCTTCCAAAACAGATCTATTGGTTCTTTTGGCAGTCCATGGCACTTTTAGTATTTTCCTCCAATACCACAACTCAAAGGCATCAATTCTTCTACGATCTTCCTTATTTTCTGTCCAGCTTTCACATCCATATAAGATTATTGAAAATACCATGGCTTGGTTCAGGCGAACCTTAGTCCTCAAGCTGACATCTCTGCTCTTCAACATTTTAAAAAGTTCCTGTGCAGTAGATTTGCCCAATGCAATACATCGTCTGATCTCTTGACTGATGCTTCCACAAGTGTTGATAGTTGATCCAAGAAGAATGAAGTCCT